AGATGTTGTGCAAATGCTTCCGCTTGTTCGGTATTAGACCTACACCAATTTCCATTGCTATTACGAATATTCGTGTTTCGTTTAGCTGGTCTCTTTAGGTATTTAGTCGCCCTCCATAGGTTGTGTTCGTTGTTGTTGGAATTAGGATCTAAATTTCTCAGATACGCAGCTAGAGATTCATTGCGTAAGTTCGACAGAAGTTGACTAAGCTCAGATGCAGCCTTGTTGTATAATCTTTTGTCAGGAGGGTAGTGAGTTTCTTGCCACCGTTTACGCAGTTTTCTTTTATTTTCTACTTTCTGTCGAATCTCGATAGACAGGTACAATTGGTTTGACTGTTGATGATTAAGAGCATGATCCGTATTTCTGTAGCTCGCTTTATGAATTGTGTTTGTGAAAAGCTCCACAGCATAGTCTATCTCCTCTCCTGTTTTTAACGAAATATCCAGGCTTATAACTGAGTCTAAATAGCTCTTGAATGCGTTAATGTCTGTAGAAGCTGAAATGACTGTGTAGGGCTTTTCCAACATATGGGCTATTGTGCTGTAAGTAGCTATTATTGGAGAATGATCTGAGTCAAGGTCAAAGCTTTCCATTACTCGCATATGTGATTGTGGAATTCCAGAGAATACAACGAAATCAATCAAGTCTGGGATTTTCTGACTATCAGATGGCCAGTATGTAGGCTTACCAGTTGACAAAGTGTGTATATTATTGTTTCGTATGCATTTGTATAACTCCGATCCCTTCGGGTTAGTCAGTCTGGAACCCCACCATGGATGTTTAGCATTGAAGTCTCCTCCTACAATAAACTTTGTGCCCAGTCTCTGGAAAAAGTTTTGAAAATCAAGCTCTTTTATTGTGAATCTGGGAGGGAGGTAAATCGCTGTTATTGATACATCCGCGTGCATACATTTTATCTTAATTGTGGCAGCCTGCATTGCGTTTTCCCTCGTACTGTCCATGATTTGAAACTTAAGGCCCTGCTTGACAATAATTGCAGCACCCCCATGAGCTCTACCTGACGGATGATCAGCTCTTACTGTATCATATCCAATAATTCTAAAATAAGATTTGCTAGTGAAGTGAGTTTCTGAGATAAGCATGACGTCAATTTCATTCGTTTTTAAAAATAAGGATATTTCGTTTACATGGTTGGAAAGCCCATTGGCATTCCATATTCCTAAGTTTAGGTTTATTTGCATAGCTTGTTTACAAGTAACATTATCATATTAAGTAAATTATTCGTAAGTTCAAATTGTTTTTCCAGAAGCTGTTCTATTCTTTCTAGGGACGTGTTTGTGATACTTTTTCCTGCAGCAGCTTGAGCGTATGATTGATAATCCTTGGGTTGTTGAGTCGAATTATTAGACGGAGCAAATGATTGAGTTGTAGCATAGTCATTTCCTTTATTGTCATCTTTGGTGTTTTTTAGGTGGTTGCGTCCGCTTACTATTTTTTTAGATATAAGTTCCTGATAAACTTTACACCCTTTGTAGCTAGCAGCATGATCTTCATTGCAGTTGGCACATTTTGGTGGTTGTTCTTTGTCTTTTGGACAAATGTTACTGGGATGACTAAGAGAGCATTTTACACATTTGTGAGTTTTGGAACAGTATGACTTTGTGTGTCCAAATTCCTGGCAACGATAGCACTGTACGATTTCTTTGGTTTTATGGGGGGGTTCTATATTAACAACTGCGTTACCAATGTGTTTAACTTTGTATATATCTAAGTTCTTATTGTTGGGCTCAATATCTAAGAAGAACAAGTTCAATGGCTCTTTGGTTACACGACTTTTAATGTTACTAATGTTTCTAACAGTGTGGCCTTTGGACTCCACATCTTGTTTGATTAAGTCGATATCCGTTGAGAAGTGCAAATTCTTAATTACTACTCTAAATGCCCTCTCATGTTTGAGCTGATAAGTGTGAAATTTGACAAAATCTCCAGAAAGTGTTTTAACAAGTTTCCTGTATTCTTCAATAGACTTAACCATTAATCTTACTTGACCATCGCGTTGAACTTTATAAAAGAAAAGCTCTTTTTTGATTTTTGTCTCGAGATAAGCTAGCATTCCTTTTATATTATTGACTTCAGATAAGAATATAGGTGGCGGCTTGGCAGAATCATCTAAAGTGTCTTCAGTTATCAAGTCCAGTGCTTCGCTTTCGTCTTCAATTCCATTATTTGGCGTGTTGTCGCTTAGGAGGGCGTACTGATTGGAGCTCGTGCTGGGTGCATGGGCCAGGGCAATTTTTTTCTTGAGGAGGATCGGAGACACTTGGTTTTGCCTCTTGATTGCCTTCGGCTTCGGTCTTACTGTCTGCCAGCTCCAAACCGATGGGTCATCTTCGTCGTTGTTCATGTTAACAACAACGATTTTTTAGTGCTTATCAGCAACCACTGTTTTGTTACGTTTTTGTTGTAAATCGAATAATAATAACTTTAGCTTCCGCTTAACTTTTAGGCACGTCTTAACTCGGGGAGTGTTTGATCGCGACTTTTAAACTTTTTTCAGATTATATTTGTTGCCAATTAATTGGACCTTCTAAATTTCATAAGGTATTTCATTTCAGCTGCCATGTAACTGAACGACCGAAATTTTGTACTTGAAAAAACACCAAATTTGGTAATTTTGCTTGGAACTTTTTTTTTAATTTTGTAATCTAATAAATTGGTTTATAATAAAATTATCATAACGATTGACCAACTATATCCGATTTTTTTTATTTATAGCCGATTTTAACTGCAAGGGTATATCAACATCGGCTCCTTCCAAAGCTAGTTTTCCTTTCTTGTAATTTATTTATTTATTTATTATTAACAATGATCTGTTATTCTAGAATCTAGATCAATATAATTAAAAGTAGGGATAAATTAAGCTTTTATTAACAGAGATTTCAAAGTAAATGGGAAAATATGTTCAAATTTTATCAAATCACACGAAATGGATCATGTTCATGCCTCGTTACCTCTTAGATCCAAAATAGTTATTTACCTCTTTAGGAACTGAAAACATTAATTCTACCGGAAGTAATTTGGAATCAACCTGTGCAAGAATAAGCGTATGAAGGAGCCTCTTGCGTACTTACACTTACGGGGCTCTTGCATTAAAAGTTTTAGCCGGCAACGATACGTCGAAAGGGAATTAACAGTATCTCAGTAAAAAACTTTTTATGCATAACAGAAACTGCTTTTGGACTGATTCAACTGTCTTTTGGTGAACTTTCGGACTCCAAACGCATGAACAGTACTGTGTCATTTCTCGCACGATGGCAAACCATTAAAAATGGTTTGACTTCCAAATTTTAACTTCAATTTCTCATCGTTTCGGTTGACGATGCGCCGATGTGGTAGTAGGACCAATAGTATTTTTCTGTACAATTTTCCAATGTAAAAATCTACCTCAAAGACTTCAAATTTTTATTTTTTTTCATTATCTTTCAGTTATATCTTTATTTTTAGTATTAAAGAAAACAAAAAAGGAAAGCTATCTTTGGGCGGATCCGAAGTTGATATACTGACAATATGCAGTAAAAACCGCACTCATAGAGATTTGTACAGCGGGTTCCACTACAAGCTGAGGCGATGTTAAGGTGTTTTTTAAATTTTGATTTTTCTTGATTGGATTATAAATGTTGCAAAAACACTTAAAAACAATTAAAATATAAAGATATTTAAAGTAAAAAAAGTGGATGTCTCGATCGAAGCACTCTACCACTCGGCTATCCCTCATTCGTTCTCTCGCGAAAATTTTCTCAAACGCCAAGACCTTAGCTTTGGAACCCAATTATACATTCCCAATTTTAGATCAAACGGATATTTTTTTTTTTTTCTTGGTCTTAAAGAATTTTGGAAATGGGTTTTGCATCAATTAGACCATAAAGTTTAGAGAGCAAGACGACCGAGGGCGCTCGAGAAACGATTTAAATTTTAAATTTTAAGTTTTAATTTAAGCATGTTAGGAAATGCTGTCTATCTACATCCCCATTGATTAGGTTATGTAAAAAAAAAATCACCCAGCATTTTCCTACGATTGGTAAACTTGGTAAGTTTATTAGTAAGAGTCTACTATTAGAAGATGGAAGGTGAAGATTTGCATCCCAATTTAGACCTCTAAGAGAAAAAGTTAAGAAATTCTTTTGTACGGATTCTATGCGGTACTGATGTACTCCATATTGGGGACTCCAGACACATGAACCGTATTCCAGTATCGGACCAAGGAAATGAAAAATGTTTTGTTTATATATGGGTCATTAAATTCTTTTGACCACCTCTTAATAAAACCAAGGACTCCTTTAGCCTTGTTAACCATTAAGGAAATATGGTCGGCAAATTTAAGTTTGATGTCTAATAGACGCCGTTATCATTAACCTGAGTTAATTTCTCTAAGGCAATCCCATAGAGAGTATACGTAGCCTGCAAAGGTCAATAATGATAAAAAGACATTTGAAAATTTTCGAGATCGAACAGAAGCGGATTTGTATTGGAGGAAAATCTTAACATCATCTTAGTTCGTTAAAGCAGAGGGGCAAGTCTTTAATAAAAAAAAAAATGACGTAAGAGTAGGAGTAAAAATTTCCTATGGTGCGCTTGCCAATTTTTCTTCCCTTCTTGGGTAACAGTCTTAGTCTGATTGTCGGGTCTTGCAGCCGTCTATAAATTGGGCTATTTAGACTTGGCAAAACTAACCGATGTACCATTTATGATGTCACATTGCATTGCTGTTCTTTCGTTCGCACTCTCTCGTTTCGTACTCGGTCGCTCCGCTCATCTTTGTAAAGCATTGAGCCGCGTTCGCATTATTATTCGCGCGGTCCCCTTTGATTCTGGATCGTTCGCGACTGATTGTTTACATAAGCTAAGATGTCAAATAAACATAAATATATATTACCAATTTAATTGCAACCCCGAATTAAAATCATTTGTTTTCCCTTGTCCGAGTGTTTCTCGCGTGAGACCTACAAAGGTTGGTTTAAAATACAAAAATTACTTACTCTGGTTCACATTTTATATAGTGCTCACTGGCATCTCGCCCGCAATGTCCGTTTATAGAACCCTTTGAATTAAATTGTTCATAACACTGTCTATCTGCAGCTGATCCTCCATAGCCCCAAATAGCTTCACATTGTAAACTTAATGTCGGACAATTCCCCTGGAAACAATAACCTTGCGAAAAATTTACATTATTGAATTATTTTCCATAAAATCATTTATATAACGACGATTTCTAACCTGAGACTCCAGACTTATTAATTCCACAAGGAGAACCATTTTTTTTATATTCATCTAAAGGACATTGTCCCAATTCGCCATCGCAATACTCAGGAAGATCACATTCGTTGTGCGTGTCTCGACATATATAGTCCTTCGGACGTAGCTAAATAAATTTTTTTAAAGAATAAATGATCATGTTGAAAACCAGGAAAAGTTTCTTACCCGACATTGGTCGCAGCAAGCACCACTAGCACATTGTGCTTCTGATTTTAGTTTGCAAGTTATACCATCACAGCAGGGGTCCAAAGCGCATTCTTCAAATGTGCCACAGTCGCATTCCTCATCTTCTTCAACCACTTTATTTCCGCAATTTCGTCGAAGCTCAATCTAAAATTATAAAAATGAAGTGTTTTACTTATCGTTCTGCTAAGTGATCTACATTCTAATGAGGATTTTTAATGAGAGTATTGTGTTTTTTAGGCGCCTTTTAACGCCAAATTAATTTCGGTTTATTATATTTCGTCCAATTTATCCAATTGATTTAAGGGGAGGGTAAGGTATTAAAATTTTTTTTTTTTTAATTTTTTTTGTATTTTTTAAATTTAATGCATAATATTTGAAGAATATTGTGTCAAAATTTCAAGTCAAATAAAGCAAAATTGACGAAGTTATTAGTTATTGATGAAGTTGCTTGTAAACGTTTTACACTGGATTTGTTTTGTGTTTAAACTTTAAAGCGTTTTTCCCACAACTCACGTTTTCAAAGTCGGTGCCCCTCATAACTTCAAAACTACTGCACCGATCCTTTTGAAATTTTAAACACTATTTCTGTACATATTTTACGAGGTAACGCTGTCGAGTTTTTTTTTTTTTTTGTTCATAATTTTGATTTTGCAATGACAAATTAACCGATTTTTTCCCAAAATATTGAGTTTTTCACTTCAAAGTCTTCGAAAAAATTAAAAAATTGCATTTTTCAAAAAACCTTTACAGCGTTACCTGGAGCGAACTATTATCTAACGAATGAATTTTCATTTTTTGATTACAAATGATCCAGCACCGAGTTATGAGGGGCACCGCAATTCAACTTTATTGGCGACACGTCCGGACAATAATGGTTGAATAAATAAATTTTAACTGTGTCGTCAGGAAAAAAAACACAAAAACATGGCTTTTTTCGCATGATTTGAACTTACCCTCCCTTTAATATAAGCAAAAATATTTTGTATGTGAATTGTTATGATTTTTTAATTATCGAGTGTAAGAATATTATTTCGTTATTTGTAACTACAAAAATGTGCATTAATTCACACATGTGGGAACGTTTTAGCACGATAAAATAATTAGATATATTTTACTTAAATAACCGAAACCTAAAATTTTCAATTCATTTCTAAGGCAAACGCAAATTTTGTCAGAAATTTCGTCTATGTATACTTTAATGGTTTTTAGTTTGGTCAAAATTTTATTGTCCCATAGAGACAAAAATTTTAATATCATTGTCAGGTCAGGCAGCAGTACAACGGTTTAATGTTTATGTTTAAATAATGTTAATGTAATGTTTAGTTTATCGATTTTGACTTAAGTTTGTACAAATCGCTTAGTTGGTCGGAAGGCGACTCTCTCTCGGCCGCTCGACTCAACCGTTCTTTCTTTACAGAGTTTTTGCTCCGCAATGTCTAGGTCGGGCCGCCCTCTTCATTATCGAGAGCTTTAGCTTCGCATGACTAGTCGGGCCGCCCTCTCTGTACATAACACATGAGTCCCTGATCTGCTGATCATCCGGCTTTTTCTGCATGCAGGAATAAACACTTATAACGTTTTAAAATTACATAAATTCGGCATTTTATTTTGGTGCGGATTACGGCATTGAAAGCCCTCAATGACCAAACAATCATCTTAATAACTTAACCCGCTGTAAAAATCCCTATAAATGCGGGTTTCGCAGTATATTGCCAGGCCAAGTAGCCAAATCGTATGATATACGATATGCTATAATAGGGTAAAAGAAGAATTCAATTATTAAAACATAAGATGTTTGATTATCATTGATTATCGAACTACCGAGCTGAGTGGACGTACTGTTCCCGAGCTCCGGGAAGACTTCACATTGCATCACATATAGAACGTAGCATTAAAATATTTTGCAAAACTCCTTCTAAAAGATGGAAAAAATCGCATGGTAAACGGAATTTCATCCGAATGAATAAGAATTTTACTGAGTGCCACCCACGATACCAATGTTCTAAAGTTTCGCATCTATTGGAATCCAACTCTTCTGCCAAACTTATAAAGTTCGCTAGTGTGAACCTTTACAAGCGGACTGCATCAAATATCATTTTAACAGTAGCCGATGATCAAGGCTCGGTTAAAATAATAAAAAGATGCTCCGAAAGATATGCCAATAAAATATACTCCAGATGAGGCATTAACTCTGTTCATTGATGGCGACTAAACAAAAACGTCATATAAACTTCTGCAATCTGGTGCCAAGGCGCGAAATGCTAATATTTTCCCAACATATGATGTTTTGTTATCTGCAAAAATGAGGTGTTATTCGGATAAAATTAAAACAGGCGAATATTGTGCCGAAGTTCCATTGCAAGATATGTTAGACCATACCATAGCTCGAATTGTTGAGGCCCATCCCGATAAAATTAGCCAAATCTCATTGAAAGGTGACAATTATGAAAATTTTACGTTCTTGTCTAAATGGGGTTGCGATGGAAGTTCTGGGCACGCGACCTATCGCCAAAGCTTCATAGATCCACACCTTAACATGGCAGATGAACATGTATTTTTTATTTGTATTGTACCTTTACAATTAAAATTGGGTAATGACATTCTTTGGCAAAATCCTCGCCCATCATCAACTCGTTACTGTAGACCTCTTAAAATAATGTTTGCAAAAGAGTCTACTGAGTTGGTAAGAGCCGAAACAGAGAAGATACAGGAGCAGATTCTTCAAATTCTGCCTACGAGATTGAGCTGCTTTTTAAGTTAATCATAAATTGGAGCTGACAATGATAGACGGAAAAGTGTTTAGTGTAATTGCTGAATCATCTTCACAAACATGTGGAATTTATAAGGCTACACCTAAAAAAATGAATGACCTAGATGCACAATGACTTACTAAAATTCGGACTATCTACTTTACATAGTTAGATTCGTTGCTTTGAATGCATGCTGCACATTGGTTATCGGCTACCCATTAAAAAGTGGCAAGTGAGGGGATCAGATAAAACCATAGTTGATCAACGAAAAGCAGCCATAAAAGATAGGTTTAGAGAAATGGCCTTATTGGTTGGTATTCCAATGCGAGGATCGGGCAACACCAATAGTGGGTATACGGCTAGGCTATTTTTTAAGATCTACATTTTGTCTGCAGAAATAACCGGAGTAAACAAGGAACTTATAAAAAGGTTATCACTGATTTTGCGCTGTATGGCTTTCGGATATACTATTAATATTCCGAGATTTCGCGAAACTGTATGAATTTTTGTTAGGGAATATCCGTGGTTTAACATGGCATCCTCAATGCACAAAATTTTAATTCACGGGGCGGATATTATAGAAAATGTACCACTTCCGATTGGAATGATGTCAGAAGAAGCCTTAGAAGCCCGAAACAAAGATTAAAGAAATTTTCGCTTGAGCCATACTCGTAAAAACTTTCGCCAAAACAAAAAAACACAATCTTTTGCATTTATTGTTAGTATCGTCAGATCCACTAATTACAAGCAATTCCAAAAGTTCGGCCAATAACCTTCTTTTGGACTACAATGCTCAAGAAGAAAATTCGGATTCTGATTCAAAAAAAAATTTAGATTCAGACTAGGACAACTAAAACTAGGGATGTCGGAAATATATCAAAATATCAATATATCGATATATTTTCTCTTAAAAAAAATATTATTATCGGAATATTTTTTGGGCAAAAATAGTCGATAATAATATTTTTGAGTTGGTATTTCCGATATTTTATGTTTGGTCACTCTTAAGCCAGAAATTGGCATTAAGTTATCTTGGAAGTTCGGTTCCATCTGAACGGTTGGCTTCTGTCATTAAATGCATGTCTGTGACTCCCGTAGTCGAATGACAGACCAGCATATAACCGAAAGAGTTTTTTTTAAATCATTGAAGAAAGATTTATTTTGTAATTAAGAGTAATTAAGAGCATTAAATAAGAGAATTAAGTAATTAGCATTATTAAGTACATATTCCATGAATTCCATGAAACTTTTTTTTTGTGTATTAAGTTTTTTTTCTAAATAAATTTGAATACAATGTCCTTAATAATTTTTTTATTTTTTATTTCAAAGAACTTAAATAAAAGTTGCTTGAGAGTGGGTATAAATATTTGTTGTTTTTTCAATTCACTTTTTAAATAAAAAATAGCTCTTATTTGCAGTTCATGGCGGATGAAAACACATATTAAAACCTTTTTTTAAATTTACAAACCACCTTTTTTCAATTTTAGCTGACCATAAAAAATATCAAAAATACTCGATATATCGATTTTTTTTGGTGATATTTCTTAATATTATCGATTGATATTTTTTTCACAGCAAATATCATCAATACGATATTTTTTCAAAAACCAACAACCCTAACTAAAACTAGTTTATTTTGTAAAACTGCATCTTACAAAAAAAATTAGAAAGCAAAAAAAAAAATGATCATTACTTGTAATGATATTCCATATCTGACGCTACATCACCCAAATTGGCCACTGTGCGACTCACGCTAGCTCCCAGACCTTATTGATTTTGCTGTGACAAAAAACATACCTCACAATCTAATAAATGCCAAAGCAGTCTCGGACTTATCAGACCACTCGCCTGTGCTTCTAACGCTTCTTCAAAGCCCAGAAATAATTGAACACCCCTTCAGCCTGACGACACCAAAAACGAACTGGCTTAAATACAAAAAGTACGTGACTGCCCACATAGAACTCGCCCCGGAGTTTAACAAGGAATCGGACATCGACTACACTGAAAGAGCGCCCTGAAAGAAGTACTCGTTGTGGCAGCTAAAAACTCTACTCCTCATGGGAAGGAGTTCCCATTCCTCAGTAGTAGACCTCCTCAGTAGACCTGAACGAGCTGTTCGATTTGCTGATTAAGTTTGTAGTATTTGTTTCGGTACGAGAAAAGAGGCGCACGCGTCGTGATAGGCAAAACAGCAGATCACCAGCATCAAAACAACGCCTTAAGGAAGAAACCCGATCACTCGACCAGGCTCTTCACCAACAGAAAGAAAATGCTTAGGTACATCCAGAATCTTTCGCCAACAAGCACAAAGTACCCCCTGTGGAGGGCCCACCCAAATCTTAGCGCCCCAATTGAAACGACAACCCCGATAGGAAACTTTTCGGGATGCTGGGC